ATAGACCCAGTGACCTGAGAGACAGATGGAGAGAGATAAGCGTAATGAAAGCTTAAATAAATTTATAAAATTCGGTCATTGAACATTCTCAAATATACGGGAAAAATTGTACTCTACTCCTCATCTAAACATTATATTTTTTTATATTACCGAACAATTTTCCGCAATCACAAGCCGGGATCATTTTCAAATTCACAGACTAATATTTTATATACTGCAACTTTAACTAATTTTATTAAAGGGTTAAAGCGAAGCCGACACACGCTTCAGACGTCCCATTTAATTTTACAGTCGGCTCTCCTCCAGAGGAAATTGCCGATAATTACATAGGCAACATCTCCTGGGCCGCATTTGAAACAATGGAATAGGCGTTGGCCCTAGATCCAAGTTAACAACCCGAATCCTACCATTCACCAACAATATTTACGAAACCTTAAACAACATAAAATTCGCATCAACACATCCATAAATTGGCGGTCGTAATCGATCAGCTTTAATTAAAAGATAAGTATTCAACAGAAGAAGCGAGGCAAAAATACACTGGCAGGCAAAAATTCCACCCAATTGATTTTGTTTCAATTACTCGATAAAAGAAAATTCTGCCCTTAATTTGTCTCGTTGTTTTTATCAATAAATATTTGCTTGTGCTGTGTTTTAAATTTGGAATATCAATTAGAGCTAAACACACTTAATTCTCAATCTAAAACAAGGATAAAGGATTTTTCATTATTTACTTTTTTTCGGAATTTAACATGTTTATTCAGTCTCGTTTGAATTCTGAAGCAATAAACTGTTGCTTGAATCTTTCTTTTCTTAATTTCAATTTTTAAACTTAAAATTGCCACTTGGTGCTGAGGATGTTGCGCGTGGTGTGGCACTTATGGTGGTTATGGTTGGTCGTTCCATCAGGTTGGCTGGCTATTGCCATCTGAGTTCCCTCCGAAACTCTGCGAGACGCAGTTAGACGTTTTCGAGAAACTGGATCCTACCATAGAAAGCCCGTTTCTGGACGCCCTAGGTTAACAGAACCACAGGATGAACGTTTCTTGACTTTGAGAATTTTGCGAAACCGGCACTTTCTGTTGTTCAAGCGATTCATCAGCTCCAGGAAGTTCGAGGCGTCCAAATTTCTGAACGCACTGCTCGAAGACGATTAAATGAGTATGGACTGAGAGCTTTTCGCCCCATAAGAGGACCAGAATTGACCAGAACACACGGAGTTGCTCGAGAACACAGCCACTGGTCTTTGGACGATTGGTCTGCTGTACTTTTTACAGCTGAGTGTAGATTTGCTCTACGATCTCCACATGGGCGTGAAAGAGTGTAGAGAAGGCGAAATGAAAGGTACGAAGCGTGTAATTTTTCCCAGAGCCAATCTTTTCAACATAGCTCAGTATGGTGTGGGCGGGAAAATCAATGTAGAGTCGCACAGAGTTGGATGTTGTTCGTGGATGGCCTTGATGACGGCGACTCTCAATGTAGATGAAATTTCGGAACATCATGCGTTCCCCATCCTCGATGAAATCAGCGACAATCCTATTCTAAAGCAACATAATGCCCGTCCACATGTCGCTCGCATAATACAAACGTACTTTCAACAGCATCACATCAGGGGCTTAGCCTGGCCAGCCCGATCTCCACACTTCAACCCCATCGAACATTTATGGGATAACCTCAAAAGACGAATCATCAGTTTCTGATACACTCCACGATCTTGAAAGGACTCTTCGTGAAGAAGGGCTAACCTCTAGCAAAGAGACGTTTCCAGATTGGCAAAAGTATGCAGAGGCTTCTTCGAGATATATTTAAGGATGAAAAACGAGATATTGAAATGTTAATTAAAAATCTAAAATAAACTTTATCTGTCCGTTTTTTTTTCCCCTTAGCAAATAACATGTTTTTTACTATTTTAGACAAAGGCTTAATTAATTTAACGTTAAAAAACGTGAATCTTTGATTAATATATAGAAATTTATGCAAATCAAGTTCTATTACAAGTGGGTAGAATTTTTAGCCTGTCAGTGTACCTTGACTACTTACTGCAATTTATACACCTTTAATTAAAATTTAGCACATAAAATTTTAAAAAATTGCGAATATTGAACGAAACTTGAACGTTAAACTCATATCAATCATAATTTTTTTTTTTTTTTTTTGGTCCAACAAAACAATACAAAAGTAAGTTTAACTTCTGTCCCACACCCTATATTTTTTATTTGGACATTTTTGGAGAAAAAAAGCTTTTATTTATTGTCTAATTTTTCATAAATCAATGTTTTGATCTCCAGAATAGCGCAAGATATTCATCTATGTACATTTTTTGGAAAGATTTTTCTCAACCGTTCTCGAGTAGGGACGACCCGAGCTCAACCTCCAGGCCTGACCACCACGATCCGGCTCCCTGACACGAGAAATGCAATTAAAATCGTGATTAAAAGGAAATGGAAGCGTAGGTGGGCCGGATCGGTAGAGAAGCTTTAACGAATCAAAAGCATTGTCGATAGGTGGCCCAGGAGGATCTGACTCGTAGAAGAGGGCTCAAACTTACTCGATTAAGAATAGGTCATGCGAGGTGACAAGGACACTTACTTTTGAGCCACCCGCCTGTCCGGCATGTAGAGAAAGGGTCTCGATGTGTTCCATTTAATTAAATTAAAAAACCATTCGATAAATAGTATTTATGGCAAACCAGATTGGTTATATTTAAATTTCTTAATTCGGGGAGATATTTCGAAAAGATCTATGAAATGAAACAACGTAATCTGCCTACTAGATCCGTCTGTCAGATGCGTTCCAACATTGTGCCATCTTCAGTATTGGGCACCTATTGGCCCTAAACCATTACGTGTCACAACAAACTGCCAAAAATATGGCCATCCATCAGACAATGTGTTAAAGATTCGTAGCTTCCTCCGTTCAATGGAAGCCCAGGACAGAGACATCCGAAAAAGTTAATCAATGGACCATCGCAGAAACTAGCGGCACAACTACTAAATCTAGGACGTGTTAGGACTAGAATATTAGTTGGCTACTGGACACTGCAGACTCCGGAGACAAATGTACAGACATGGAGTGGCAGAAACAACCCTATTCAGATATTTCCTGGAGGAAAATAAAACAGCGGAACATGTCCTCTCTTTTTGCGAATGCTTTTTGTCGGTAAAGAAAGCTACTCCTCGGAGAGGAAAAGCCCGGGCCTGAAGGATACCCACTTATGAACTCGAAAAAGCTTTCGGATCTGGTAAAAAGCCTTCGTTTAATGAGCAGATCTAGACAACAGTGTAGTTGCACTGGCCACAGTCCTTTTTTATTGTAAAATCCTATTTAAAAATATGTATTTTGAACCGAATAAATTGAAATTCCAGATCATCCGTTTTTATCAATAAATGTATATCATCATTCCAGAAGTTTTGTATATTATACTGTAGACTATCCCACCAAGCTCTTAGCACGGACGTCTTTGGGTGAAAATCCTTAAGTGATTAATGAATGTTCATTTGGCTTTCCCCGTTATCGTTGGCCGACTGAATTGTTATGAGTTATGACAAATCCATTTTTCATCCCTCGTCACTAATCCTCTGGTAAATAGGCCAGATTATCTTGGCTGAAAATTAAAAATGCAATATTCAATTTATGTAGGTTAAGTGTAGAAACGGCCATTTTCTAAGTTTTTTCTGGCATTATAGTAGGTATTATTTTTATTATTAATTTAACTCAATCAACTTTGGTTTTTTCAAAGCGTTATTTGTATTTGAGATAAAAACCTAGCTCTGGCAGCGTACCAGGTACTTACCAAGTGGCAGAGTACTTACTAATATCTTGTCTCTCCATCGTTTACTAGCATCTAAAAACCTACTGCACCAACTTGATTTAAACTCATTAGTACTGAACCGAGTCCAACTTAAAAATTGACTTTTTCATTTTATCTTGAACTAAGTTCAAATGTTTATCCTGGTTCAACTTTGAACGGCCGTCGAGCGTGGATTAAACCTAGTTCAGAGTTAAGTGACTTCATTTCATAATAATTATAACCTGAATGTTGTTAAAGATTGGACTTTTATTCAACACAATTGAAAGAGAATTTAATCAATTTTTGTTCCCACGTTTCAATAAAAATTATTGACTGTTCTTTCTGATATTTAGTTCTAACCGTCATTCTGTTTTCTTATCAGCAACAAGTTCGGAAATTTCTACTTCTTTTATGATATAACTTGATCCTTTTCTCTTGTATATTTATTTATACTCATCAAATCGCATCATGTGCAGCGAGATTCACTAGAACGGTCCTTCCTTTGAACTAGGTTCATATTATGAACTAGGTTCCAGTAAACCCAGTTTAAACCCTGATTGGTGCAACAGGACCTATGTAATAAAATGTACCTTTAATTTTCAGCAGAGTGTTGATTCTGAGAGATGCAGAACAAATTAAATACACAATTAATGACTATATAATAAAAATAAAACATTACCTGGGATTGCCAGTACACCAAGTATATTTTCCACTTGTCGACCTAGCATATGTAGCTAAATGTTTTCTGTTCACTCTTGCTTACAGAAAGAATGAATGGAATCTGACAAACAATTTAGATATAGTGCCTATAAATAAACGTAGCTAATGAGAAGATTATTAGTAATTTAAACCGGGTCTTTAGGTATATTAATTACAAACAATAGCGGGGGGACCAATATCCTTCAAATCAAATATGTATCTATGTTTGTTTTTAAAATGGATTATGGTATTAAACTAAATTATATGTTCATAAGAAAAATGTTTTATGTTGTCACGATTGGTGAATGCCAAGACATTTTTATACATTGTGTTTTATATTGTGAATGCAATTATTGTTTCATACATAATTTAATTTCGACGAATTTAAAACCAAAGGAGTTTTGTATGAATAAAAAGATTAATTTTAGTATTATAATTTTTCCCCTGTTTTAGTTTACAATATTTCATTGATATCAATGTGTATACGACAACTTATGTGGATAAACATGGAGTAACCTTACTAGTCAATGTGATTTCCACGCGTGTTATGTTGTATACAGTAATATACAATTGGTGCTTTTGTATAAGTGAATTGTGAATCTGCTAAAATGTTGACTCCAAATTTTAACATTTCTCAATCTAAAAACCAAATAATTTTAGTTATAAAAGCTCCGATGGCAAACCCCAAAGACACCGAGCTGATTGTATACGATGATAACGTAGTCTTTTATTCCTCCCCTTATTACCTAAGGTAAGTTGAAATTAATAAATGCTGGAGGTTTTTGTCTTTAAGTTATACCATTGTTCGCAGGCTTCATTTGTCTGGGGAATTGAAAGAAATCGAAGAAACCTGTGGTAAATATGACGCTGATAGTGGGGAATTCTCATTCACTCTGAACAAACTTAACGAGGGAGAGGAATTCAAGAATTTAGACTTACTCGGCCAACTTCTTATACCATCGAAGAAGCACAAACTTAGACCGGAAATATCTTTGGTCGAAGGTAACTTGAATAATAGATAAACGCAACCTATGTTCATTCCGAAGGGCAAAGCCCCAGTGTGCTGACCGTAGAGTTCACATACTCTGTTCTGCGGTTTGGTTGCTAGTCCCTTAAGCCCAGGAGGTCGGTTCCCAACCAGTTGGAGTTAGGCACCAACATGTTCATTCTGAAGGGCAACGCCCCAATGTGCTGACCGTAGAGTTCACATGCTCTGTTCTGCGGTTTGGTTGCTAGTCCCTTAAGCCCAGGAGGTCGGTTCCCAACCAGTTGGAGTTAGGCACCAACGGGGGTTTTCTACAGTTGTCATTTCGGCCCCAAACACAACTAGCTTAAAACTGGCTTGCATACATAAAAACCATTCACACCTATGTACATTGCCCTCATTCTGATTAGTCAGTGGAGTACTCGATATTTCTCATTCGACCTACACACAATAATAATAAACTAATCTACTAAATCTAAATTAAGATCGGTGGAATACTTTCATAAATATTGACCCTAAACAATCACACTACTGCAGGGGTGATAGTGACGCTGTATTTCAACTTATAAATAATAATAAATACGCACACTCAGACAAAACACAGAACCGCAAAAGGCATATAAACACAATAAATTAAAGCTACATCTTCTAAAAAACAGAACAGGGAACCCAGAAACTTGTTACTGTGCCCGAGAACCATTCTTAAATTCGGCAGCATGCCTACACGCTCTCTGTATGGAGCCAAGGCATGAAAAGCTTCTAGATTGAATAAGATTCAATAAAAACGTTGATCATTTATCATTAAATACTACATTCCCACATGTAAATTATTAATTTGTTCCAGTTTTGCATCATTGCAATTACATATCATACATTGATCGCTATTCAATTTCACGATAAGAAATACTACTTAATCATATTTTAAGTTTTATAAATTATTTTTGTATTGTAGACGAGTCAAATAATATGTCAGTAGAATCCAACGATATTGAAAATGAAGATGATGTCGATGATTGGTACATAGATCAGGAGATTTTCACCGAAGATGTTAGTGGCTTACCGAGTTACGGCTTTGCCAATAAAATGTGTGGAAAGGAAAGAGAACTGCGGGTAGGTAATTTAACACAAGGCAACAAAATAAATTTTTATATATATTTTTTTTTACATTATTCTTGTAGGAAGAGTTTAATGAAATACTGGATTTGCCTGATGCTGCCAAGGTCTCGCCACAAGATAGAAAGTCTCTAAGGATTGAAATTGAAAATAATAAATTCTCCGAAGAGCATTATTTGGCTGACTTGATGGAACCTGGAGAGCAGGAACAACTCATGCATTTTGTACCACCTTGGTTTGACAAAGAAAATGGTACTTATTTATTAATGAAATATCCTATTTTGATTTTTTTTTAACATTTTCATTATGTGTAATGCAGTTAGCTTACATCAAGAAGAAAAAAACTATCTTAAAGAGTTAGGAAACAGAGATTATATTATGAACTCTAATGAAACTAAAGTTGCTCTTTTATCCCTCGTTGATATACTGTTTGCATACGCATACAACTACCGTACGACTCAGGGAGAAGAGAATAATGTCGAATCTGCTTGGACTGTTAACAAATTGAGTTCTACTCTATCCTGTTTTCAGGTACATTCTTTATTAACATTTGAAGAAAAATAATAATTATTATTGACAATTTTTCTTTAGTCTTTTCAAGACATAACAGAAGTGAAAACTGCATGTGTTCGAAGATCACTCATTTTTCCTCTGTACAGGAATTGGGATTTAAGTATGAAAGTTTTAGGAGACACTCATGCTATTCTTTTAAAGGGTATGTTTGTTCAGTTTCATTGATTTTGTTTAAACTACATTTCAAATTATAATTTTATAGGCAAAAGGCAAATATTAAAATGCTTGATAGAAATTCATAAGATGTTCAACCAGAGTGAGCCGAGGTACCTTTTGAACCAGCTTTACATTACAGATTACTGTATTTGGTTGCAAAAAATATCTGAAAAGAAGATCTCACATCTAGCTCTTTATTTCAGTCAGGTATAAGTTATTTGAATTTTATTGCTTTTAAAGAATCATTAAATTCCAATATATTGTACAAGGAGACGAGAAATAAGTACGATATATCGACATTTTCACTATATTGAGATTATAGTATATCGAGGATAAACAATGAAAAATAGGTTATTTTTACATTTTTAATTTTTTGTGTGTATTATACATATATACATATGTAAAAAAAGTGTTTATTTTTTATGTGTACATATATGTTTTTTTTTATAAACTTTTTATGTATATTGGTTAGAGATCTGTCTGACCATACACCAGACTGCATCTCACAATCTCTAAATAATCATTAATTAATGATCACTAAATACTACACATATGTATTTTGGAAAATATTGATCAATTTGGTTGCTTTCCTTTTTCACGCTTTGTCAGCGATATTCATTGCAGCAATGTGTTTTATTTTGAATCAATGGCATCGGGTGGATCAAACAAAATCCTGGAAACACCCTCCACTGGTCACAATAGACCCTTCTAGTCTACTACGAGGCATGGAGCTCAGGCCTTCCTTAAAAGAAAACCCCTACCTCTTTAATTATGTTTTGTCTACCTTGAAGACAGAAAAAAATACCTTACATGATTTAATGAGATTTTATCAAAGGACCGGCACTTTTTTATGTTATATTGTGATACAAAATATCGAGATTTTTCTATATAAGCATATCAACTCGAATATATTGTGCAAATAGATTTAAAGTAATAAGATCCAAAAGTTTCCGTCTGTAAAATGTAGACAATAATCTTTAATATATTACATATCCTGTGACATGAAGTTCGCTGAAGTATCTTTTCCAACAAGCACTTCAAAAATTAGCAGTTTCTAAACACTGAAGGCCTTACTTTCCATCTATGAATATGACCCAAGGTTTGGTTATTCAATGGGTGTGAAATATTCCTCTTAGATTCCTATTAAATATTCTCCAATTTATTGTGTAAAATTTGAGACATTTTTATTTAAAAGTAATACATTTCCAATTAGATTGAACCCATTGTTGTACCACTTCCAAAAATTAATTCACCAAACCATAATGTATTTCAAGTTTTTAGAGAGAATTGTGAATTTCCAAATTTAATCTCGCATCGACAAGACTAAAATACCGAACCTATTTCAATCTGGTCTTCGTTCTGGGTGGATTAACTGAAAGTCATATTCATGGAGATCAGGTTAACTGTACAATAAAAAATTATTTTAAAAACTTTTAAAATATTTTAAAAAAATGCTTTTAGGTCTGTCAATCAATATTCTCTTGTCAAAACTGTTGTTCAATTTAAATTTGGTTCATCAGGATGTACATTTGGCTTTGCCACATGCAGATAATAAAATCCAATCGGTATGGTGTGATGCAGACATCTTCTATTCAGTTGTCAATAGGTGTCCCTCAGAGCTCCATCCTGCGACCTTTATTATTCTCATTGTTTATAAAACATCTCACCTTATATGTATACATACGCACTGCCATCGTGGGTCTTCAGATTTGCTGTTTTTTTTTTTTTTTTTTTTTTTTTTTTTTTTTTTTTTTTTTTTTTTTTTTTTTTTTTTTTTTTTTTTTTTTTTTTTTTTTTAACCCTCCAATGTATTCCTCTGTTAGGTCTTGACTGAACTTAAAGTAATTTTTCTTTGGAAAATCAAAAATGTAATTGTTATTGGAGTAAAGAGATCAGGGATGAAGCCATGTAGGAGAAAAAACAAACTTGTTTTTCTGCTGTCGAACTTTCGGCTGTATTTCATGCCTTCCTCAGGACTTTGAAAAACTATTTAAAAAAAAACTTTACAATCAGTTCAGACATCACAGACACAAAATCATGAAGGCTGATACTATACTCAACGATATGTAATTGTTATTGGTTATTTTGTGGATAAAAAGATGCCTGGGACTATGTAGATACGCTCATTGTGGTCCACATCATTATTTTTTCTATAGTACAAATTTTTTGTTGGTTGTTTTAGAGGCCAATTATTACACTCACTATACAAACTCGCTCCAGTAGGAAAAAAGCTTAGTCCTACTACTCACACTATAATATCTTACCCTTTGTCTATTGTCTTGGTGTTTCCTTTTACCCTAAAGCTCTCATTTTTTAGTTTGTATTCAGTTTCTGGTGTGAAAGTAAGCGAAATGTATGCCAACTTTGTTTTTACTTGCGCAGATGATATTTTGAAAGAGTTTCAGAGGCAGGAAGAAGAACAAAACATTTTTCTTGATGGCCGACATTTGATATGGCAATGAAAATAAATATTTTACCACGTGTGATAAATGCAAGCAATTCGTTTGTGGTAAACATTCACCAACCACCAAAATATGGGAATGTTTATTTTGTATAGGAGATTCATAACATAATAGTTATGAAATAAGGAAAATTTAAATTTTATCATACCTACATATGAATTTTTTTATAAAAAAAAATTATGTAACGTAATGGAATTTTAGCATAAACATGAAAAATGTTATTTATTGCCTATGTACATATTAAATAAATAAACATAAAATATTTTGTAACAGTTTATTTTAAAAAGGAGCCAGTGTTCGGAGTCTGAAAGACTTAAATACCACATTGGCTCTTTTTTAAAATAAACTGTTATAAAATATTAATGACTGACGACCACTGTTTTAACCACTGCGTTAACTCACCTGAGGAAGGATTAAAATAAATCCGAAACATTGTGGATTGAAAGAAAAACTGGTTGTGGTTTTTATGAGATGACCTATTATCCCACCTTCAAGAAGGAAAAATCATAAGTTAAACTGTTGAGGTCGATATGTAAGAAAACATCGATAAAATAATATCTTACTATTGTAGTTTTTCAGTTAAAATAATATTGAGTTTAAATATACCCGTCACGGCAGTCCAGTTTCTTTTTTACCAGTGGTGTGAGTTTTAATTGTCCAAAATGCCATCTTTTGTTGACACTGCCCTCCTGGCAATTTAATTCAATAAATGTGTCTACCAGATACAAAGTGGTTTGAGTCTCATAATTTTTCTCTTACCTCTTGACCGGGTCTGATGAAAATGGTAGAACAAAATGTATTTAGGACTTCTATTTGGTTGTTTCTTCATTGGCTTCTTGCTTTCAGCTGCAAAACCAAATAATGCAGAATTTGCAAAATGGTAGCCAATAGACAGAAGCACCTGAACATATTTGCTCTGACTTCCAACTTGTGCTCAATTCCCTTTGGATAATTTCCAATGTGAAGCAATATTTTTAATAGAAACATTCATTTATGTATACATTTTTTGAAACATGGCTGTTTTAATTATTTACAACCCACAGGGCAACAGTTAAATATTTTTGTTTAATGTTGTAGATTAACTTAAATAAAGAAGAAATTGGCCTCGATTTAATAGAATTAGAATCTGCAGCTTATTCTGTCAAAGAAGAAGAAGAAATCAATTACTGTGCGAATCTTTTAAACCGTGTTGAGCTTAAACAGTGAGTTCAATTTTTTCTATGCATTTTTAGTATAAAACATTCGTATAAATTAAATCATTTATATAAAGTATACTCATTCAGGACAAAGTAGATCTAATATATACAAATAAGCTTAAACAATTTTATTTTTGAATTATATAAATAAATAAATATGACTTTTGTCTTATTAAATAAATAATATAAAATTAAAATTACAGGCCAGTATCTTCAGACGACTCTGAACCCGACTCTACAAGCTCATCAGAAATTTCATCATCATCCGATTCGAACAGTTCATCATCCTCAGATGAAGACTAGAAAACGTACGACACATTTTCTTGTACAATTTGTCACAGGTATGAAATTGTAGATTTTATTTTCTCTTGTAATTCGTAAGAGATTTTATATATTTCACATCAATATTCGCTTGCGATGTATATCCATGGGATTAGCTTGTTGTAATGATTTCTCAACTTTTCTTTTTCATCGCTTGCTTCATTGGATCCTTCTATCGACGGCTCTACTCCCTCTTGTGAGCTGCTTTCGCTCGATATGGATTGTTTTTCCATTTCTTCTTTGGTTTCAAAAACAGCTTTCAAAAAGGAGAAAAAATTTGTTACTACATTCTCCACTTTGTTTTCTGCTATTTGTTTTTCTTTTTGCTTATTTAACAGGAATTCGACAAATTCAATTTCCCCTTGTGTTTCTTCTTTTTCCTTTGTCTGTTGGACAGTTAAAAAAAAAAATTGTATTACAACTTGCATGAATTTTTTTTTACGTTGTACTTACAGCATTTTCTGCAGTAGGTGATAAACTATCGCTACCTACATTGGATGGAGGCTGTGAGGTGTCGACTTTTTTCGAAGTTTCTTCAACTCGGATCTCGTGCGACGATTGTTCTAACAGTGTAAAGTGACATTGTCCACATGGATTAGAGATAAAAGTAGATAATAAAGTCGCCCAGACGTAAGGCTTAAATTTCATCGCATGCTCTGGAACTATTCGATATGTCAATCTTCGACATCTGCAAATTATAAACAGTTTTATTAAAAATTTTAAGCAAACAAAACAACTTGCTACAAAATAAATTGAGAGTAGGATAAAAGCTGTTTTTCAGGCAGACTGGGTTGATTAAAACTTTAAATATTAAAAATATATAATATATGTATTGTATAGAGAAAAATTACCTGTCAATAATAAAAATATATCCATTATTTTTTCCTAGACTGCGATAAATCTCTCCAGTCGTATCGATTTTCATATCTCCATAGCTTATTAATCCTTTTTCTTTTCCATTTCCTTCAACTTTGTCCATCGCTACTATTAATTTAATATCGATTCTTTCACTGATGGCTAATTGATTTTTCAATATCGGTAACCTAAAACAAAAGCGTGTATTGTTGGTTTTACGATGGTTAGTGACAAGTGGAACATTTGTCAGTCTTTGGGCTACCAAAACTAACATTAAAATTTTTATTAAAAAATTTTTTTTCAGAAGAATGAGCTGGTTACTTTTTGGTTTCAGCAGCTTCGTTTTCTTCACAGTACACTTATACATTTTACTATGAGCAAATCATGAATACGCAGAAGAGAATACAAAGTAACTTTCCCAGTGTTGGTATGTATAGCCAGTTTGGGGGGGGCTTTCGGTTTTTGACACAGATTTTCAATCAGAATGAACTGGATTTGTTGTAAATTCCTTTCTAGCCTGATAGTATTGACCAAGACCTATCAATTTATATATCAAAAAAACCACATGAAATTTTGTTTTAAACAAAAACCAAAAAATTAAAAAGACAAATTAGTCTTAAAAATTTCCACTATTTAAAAAACAACGTATATATAATATTATATAAATTATGTAATAAAAACTGCTCAAAATGAATAGAGATATTGCTAATTTTGCAGTATTTACTTACTCCCCAGCATGTGTTTTTAATTTTTATTATAAATTGCATTAAAATTTATTACAAAATTATGGTTTTTATTGGGAAAATTTAATTAAAGTATTTTGAAAAATAACAAAATAAAAGGTTTTAATTCCAAAATTTGGTTTATTGGACACAATAATTTTTTTAAACAATTAATACCGTGTATAATGTCCTCCTGTTGGGCATACCGTTAATAAAGATGTCACCAATTTCATAAGGAATTTCACCCCATAGATGTTGCAATGCTGCACTCAGTTGTTCCAGGTCAACTGGCTGCGGATGGTGATCGAAAAGCTTTCTCTGCAACGCATCCCACGTGCTCAATGGGATTGAGGTCTGGAGACCTGGGGAAGTGGCTGATGGGCAATTTCCAGGTTTTTTAAACATTGATGAACAACTCTGCCTTTAGGTCTGGCATTGCAATTCAGAAATGGCAAATCCCTGCCAATAAGGTCCCTGATGGAAGGATGCTTCGATTAATGATCCTTATGGAATCCTAGATAATTTCTTGGACATAACGGACTGCAGTGAAGTTGCCTTCAACAATAGGACGTCTAGTTCGCCCTCCAGTGTAAATCACAGCCCAGATCATTACACCACCTCTTCCAAACTGCCCTACAGGAACACAAACTGGGGCATTGTATGCATCCCCTGTTCTCGGTAGACTCTTCGACACTTGCTATCACTGTGCACAGCAATGTGACTCATTAATAAACATAACAGCGTTCCAATTGGTATTCTCTTCTGGGTGCTCGCATATTCTCCTGAGTTGCAGGTGGTGGGCTGTTGCTGCAGGCCATCTCAAAGGGGCATACGATGTGAGGCCAACTTCTTACAGACGTTTGTGTCAATGCCTTGCCAAAACATCTTCTGTTGTACTTCATCTAGGATCTAGCAGGCACTATGGAAAGGGTTCCAACTTGCAGCTTTGACAGTGTTTCTGTCCTCCCTTAGCATCATAAAGCGCTGAGGTCAACTACCAGGCCAATAATGCTCAATTGGCATTTCTAGTCTCGGAATCGGGCTAAACCACGCTCTGAGAAATGCCAACTACCTCTGCAATATCCACTTGCCTTTAACCTCAATGACTCTTTCTCATAATAATTTTGCGAACTTCTGGTTCATTGGTTAAACAGAATTCAACTGGATCAAAATGGAGAAAAGATGAGAAAAGTTGTTTATTTACAAAATGAGTAATCTTCTTGTTTACTATTCTTATGTAAATCCGTTATTAAATATGAAGATTAACATAATGTTTTTGGTTTGTATTTTTTATTTTGTTGTATATAACTAACAAGAATACAACAGTTAATTTAATTAAAATTAATAGAATAAGAATAAATTACAAATTTCCCTATTCATTTTTGAGCAGCTTATATGTGGAAGTAAATCCAAAAGTATTCTACTGTCAGAAAAAACTGAAAGTCAGGGGTGTCTATGAGAATCATCCCCACAACCACAACCGTTCTACATGCTGAGAGTTTAACCACGGTCGTCCTATGAGTGAGCTTTGGCGTAAACAAATGGAACGAGCAAGATTTGGGTCACAATTTGTGTGGAACGGGCGAGTTTGTATCTATATCTGAGGGGGAAAAACTTAGAAAGTAAGTAATTAAATAAATCTAATTTTTTTAATGGCCTGGCATCTGTTGCTGGAAATTTAAGGTTTTACTTTATTCAACTTCAAATTTAATTATTTGGTAGATAATTTTACAAATTTTTCCCTTACTGGACTCAGTACACGGAAGACTGCACAAAAAATTCTTGATTTCTCTTTTCACCTACCCTCTTGTTGCTTTCATGAAGACATTATTTCAAAAAGTATTTTCTGCTCACATTTGTACACGAATTCAGAATTTCTGATTTTGATAAAAACATTAGGGGTTACAGTGAAATAAGAATACTTTCTTTTCTACACAATTTGTACATTTGATATGGTTTTGAAAGAACGCACTTCATAAAATGGAAAACTCTAGGCAAATATAACTATTTCTGAATCATATATTTCTCCTTTGCAAGAGAAGCGTAGTTTTATTTATTAAATAACTAAAAAAAGATTTTTTTATTTTGGATTTACTTCCACACATAATTTTACTATCCACACATTTCACAGAAAGTTCAATATTATCTACTTACACCTAAAACTCTTCTTTTATGAAAACAGGAATTGAAATTTGATGTTTAGAAGATTTTTTTTGTAAATAAAATTTGATAAGAAATGTGAAAATAATAATGGTGATAAGATACTCCCCTAGGAGACTCCAAAACTTATATTAGTTGAGCCAATAAAAAATTACTACATTTCAAATCAAACTTGCGATTACTGATCTGATAAAATTGGAATTACAATAGTCAGCATTGTTAATAAACTAATTTAATTGATCGATAAGGTCATATCGGGATGATAATAAATACACTTCTAAAATTGATTCGTAGATTATCTTCGCATGCGACCCAGCACACTTGTGGCCCGTGACTGTCCATAGGTCGATCGTTAATTTTATCACTATTTACATCACATTTCAGGATAAACAATAGGAGAAAGAATATCATCTTTTAGTGTAACTATTGGTTTAATTTTGCTAAAAGTAACAGAAAGACTTCTTCAATTCCAAATTAGCACAATCAATCTCTATAAAAAACATTTAACAATATTTATCAGTGAGAATTTTAATGTTCATGCAGGAACGAATAACAAAAAGCAATATCTAATGTGTATTTTATTTTTGTTTAACGTCCACCAAAAAAGTATGTTTTTTCCACTTTTTAATAAGCTTGTAAACTACTTTGGGTGCACTCGGAGATGGAGTCATCCACCTACCACCCAGCAGCAAAGACAGACCGACGTGTCCTTTTCAAGGATATGAATAAAAACCATTAACAACTAGGCAACTGTAAAATCTATATACTGTTTACTACCGGGGTCAAGTTGCCCTGCTTCCCAACTCACCGGGCACAGGCAAAAACTTGCATCTAGATTTGTCATAATATTGTAAGCAAAAGAAAATGGTAAATCATGTTTTTTTAATTGTAAGAATAACAACTGAATCAACTTCAGAAGTTGTACATTGTTTCACTCCATGACGTGCTGACCCTTAGATTTATAGATTAGGGGAGTTCCCCCTGTTATGCCAGATACTCAGATCATCACTTCCCAACCGATGGGGTTAGGCACCGACCTTTTGACAACTAGGTCATTTCAGCCCCCAACACATCCAAAATATAATCTAGCGTAAAACTGAATAACTTTGATAATACAGTCGCACAAATAAATACATTCACACTGTACATTGCACTCATTCTGATAGTTGGAGTAGTTGACATTCCATCAACCTACTCTCAATATTAATAATCTAATGTAAATTAGGGTCAATGTTTTATAAATAATTTGTCATCAACCCTAAACACAAATATCACACACTGAGAATGGAGGGGCAATGGTGATGTCTTCACTATCAGTCTCTCACCTTAATAAATACATGCACTCAAACAAAACAAGTAAAACAAATCTATATACAATAAAAAATTAAAAAGCACCCAGGGACTCAGAAACTTGCTACTGTGGCCAAGAACCATTCTTAAATTTGGTGGCATGCTACATGCTCTCTATAAGGAGCCAAGGCAAGCTTTTATGTGGAACATAGAACAAACTGCGAAAAAGCAAACCTGCACAGTTTTTGGCCCATGTGCCAACCGCATATGACTTTCTTAATCGAGTAAGGACACTTCCTCATTTCTGGCTCGGGTTCTCGTGGAGCCATCGAGAAGTCGTGCTCTTAACCAATAAGATCTTCTCATAACCCTGCTATTATTATCCTTATTTGTCAATTACATTGTTTGATTAAAAACTCTGATGATCATAACCACAACTTATTTGATTATTATTTTTGAAATTGTTTTCCTGATGAATACATCATCTGAATCTATGGTTTTGCCCAGGCGAATGTATAATACAGTGAATTAATTGAAAGACCACATCCCAAAAACTAAAAAGACCAGAATATTATCAAAGTTGGTCAATAACAAACACTAACCTTGCATCTGTGTATCAGCACGATTGGAATTTTAAAGGGTAAAAAAAGTCATAATAATACCCCTTTGAACAGAAGTATTTAATAAATTATTAAAGAAAACCTATATATACACATTTACTAGTCTTTTCTTTTTTTTTTTTATTTACCCTTTCCACCACCCCGCCGTACCTGAGGAAGACCCCATACCGTCGGACAAACGCTTTAGCTTAATCGAGTTTGTATATCTAAGGGATTTCAAATAAATGGGATAAAAATACCTCCCAACGATCTTTCCTTCAGGCGAGACCGCTGGTCGGTTTTTGAAGGGACCATATTTTCATTTTAGAACCTAAAACAAAAGGTCTTCCCTTGCTGGTTTCCCCTTGCACATTTACTTTTCCTTGGTTTTATTTTCTATCTATTTATATTATCTAAAATTTTCTTACTAAGAAGAGGAAAACAGCCCGGAACCCTAAACCTATGTTTAATTATGCAATAAATAAATAACTGTAATAAAATTCTAACAATAATAACAATATCTAGGACTTAATAATTAGAATAAATAGGGACTTGTTCATTTAAGCGTATTTGAGGCAAAGTCTTTTAGTGCGCCAAAAGATTTGATATCACAGACTAGCTTTTGGAGATTAGGCGGCCATTCTGCTGAGGTAATGGTCTTTCGCAAACGTTCTCTTTCTGCCTTGAAATTGATACAGCTGAAGAGTTTATGTTCAGTGTTGCAAATGGAGCATAAAGGGCTATCTCTTTTCTTATATTTATGAAGATAGCTTGCGAAGTTTCCATGACCTGATAGCATTTGGGTGGTGCAGTAGTCGGGGTGTAGCCATTTTGTCTTTTTGTCTATTTTTACACATTTACTAGTCAAGAATTTATACGTTCCAAACAGTCCTCTCAGTTTGCTATTTATACGAACATTAGAAAAAATCAAGTCAACCTTGAATCTATTAAATTCCGCAAACAGTCAAAATTACACAAATGGTTGTTGTGTGTTAGAAAAGTTGTTATTGATCTGTGTATGCCTATTACGATGATTTATGTAATCAAACTAATAAAATTACATAATAACCGAGTACTCTAATTGCAGTAGAGAAATTAAAAAATATATATTGATATTTTAAAGTGTTCAAAAAGAAAATGTAGATGTAATCTAAAATGTAGATCTCATGCTATCTATCCATCACATATTACGGATAATTCAAAATACTTATTTACACTAATTGAAAAAAATAAAAAAAATAGGACCACATACTCAATAACATCCCAAACCAGATTACAGAAAGAAATAAGTCATGTAATATTATTAAGAGTGCAATAATTATAATATAAAACATAAAGTCTGAAGAGGGGTGGCTGAAAAGTGCCCCCGAAACTAAAACTCTTAATAAAAATACATTTTTGCAAGGATGGAGTGGACTTACAGGAGGCAAAAATAAATCCAGAAAACTATTGGACCACTTTTTTTTTACCAATTATATACCATTACCAGACTGGAAGAATTAAATTATTGAAACTACCATCTTGGATACTATTTATTAATTTAATTAATATTTTTATATGAAAGTTTGACTTATCAGCAGCTATTTGCATGGAATTATAAGTTAACAATACAATTATGATCATATAAAGTAAATATAGCTTAAAACATAAATACATTTTGTTTGGTTTTGTCAAAATATAAAGTAAAATATACAATAGTTCTTAAACAAAAACAAGAAATCAAGTTAAAAATAAAACAACATTTAACAACTCAAACATATTGTAAATCAAGAATATTTTTTGTGATTAAACACAAAGTAAGAAAGATAAACCAAATTGTTTTGGTAGTATCAAAATAACACCAACGAACTTTGACTTATTAACCTATGATTTTTCCTTCTTGAAGGTGGGATAATAGGAAATTGTTTGACTTATTACTTATTAATATTTTCTCGTAAAATTTCCTTTTGGGCTTGATTTATTGATTTTTGTTGTTTTTTAATATTAATTATTAAACTTTAAAGGCAAATTTCATCTCGGTAAAGCTGCCTAAATTAATTTTTTTCAAAGCAATAATAATATTATTTATTTCAATTCCTTTTCTGCCTCGCTGGCATATCTTTGAAATGTAAAAATGAAGTATTATATATACAGTGAATCTTACTAAAACAAAATTTTTAGTTATATTAAAAAAATATATTTTATGGCAGATATAAGTGCCCTCTTTTTGTTGAGAAGCACGTTAATTTTTTTTTTATCATGTACTTATCACGTATAGTAAATCAAAATTAATACCGATATTTTATGTTTTTAATAAAAATGAACAAATTCAATAAATTTGATTGAGTTACGACTTTGAATTATAAGGCAACTTTTCCCTTTGAATTATTTGTTATTATTGTTGTCTTTTCTTAATCCCATCCGATTATGCAATAAAATATAACGTTCAGAAAAGTGGACCGATATGCTGTTTTTTTAATAAGTAGATCCAGTTTTTTGTTATTTAACGATAATTATTACATAAATGAAGTAAATAATCTATGATAAAAAAGAAATCAACATGATAATATTATCTTGTACGTCAAATTGAGAATTTGTATTAGAATCTATCTCGGTCAAACATATTTCGACTAACAGAACCAAAGCAAATAATTCTCACGAGAAATAAAAAAATAAATTTTATAGAAAGAAACGAAACATTGATATAACTAAACTTTACTGATATTTGAAAGCTCAAAATTTTACCTTTGTACAAAATTTTTGTAAAAAGTAAAACTTTAAAATAATTAAGAAGAAGAATTAAAAGTACTTACATCACTGCTAATGAGTAGCATTGACGACAGCGACTTTTCATTGAGTAGACAATGTGTATGACGCCTTCTTCGATAAGCAAGTCTGGTATTTGCGTTTTTGTACAGTAGGGCAGCGAGCGAGGATCGACTGAAGTCGCTAGAAGGACAACTATCGCCAGAGGGCACAGATAGAACATGTTTAGATCTAGAAGAAAAGTCCAAATTGACTTCACGACAGGGAAAACTCGACCGGCTGGGATATTTGGCTGGGCATTTTTGCACAAGTTTGTTTACTCGAAGCGGAGTAGAGTCTGATGAAAACGTTGGATCGCCTCGAAAACGCTCCTTGACCTCTCCCTACCAAATAAAAATTCCTGTCAAATCTCAACGATTCATTAGCACTTGATCTTAACATTAGATTAGTTATAATGAGCCTAAGAAACTGGCAGCACAAAATTTGATGGAAAATAATTGTTTATTTATTTTTTTACTATTATTATTTTTTTACTAATGAATTTATCCATCAAGTAGAAGCAGCCATATAAAATTGTCAATAAAATGACTAATTATTTTCAGATATAATCTAATTTAAAACTTATACAATGTAAAATTGTAAAATCCTTTAGGGAAAAATGTCTTTCAAGGGCCTTGAATTCTTCCTCTAGCAGAATTTACAAAGAATTGAATTTTAACCTAAAATATATAAATTACATAAATAACGAAATTCTAATTAATTATATAAGTTGGACAATTAAAGCGAGAAGTGAGCAGCTGTTCCCTTTGCGATATGTCAGAGATTGAAAATAAAATTTAAAATAAATTTTAAACAATTTAAAAAATAAAATAGAAATAAATAATTATGCAGTATCTTAATTTTCTATAATAATAAACTACTGATCTTGCAGTTTATATAAATTTATTTTCGTTTATTCATATAACTGAATTAAATGATGTATTTCATTTTATTTTTGTTACAACTTTATATTCAATTAAATTTAATACTTGGGGACCGCGGTAGCCGAGTGGTCAGCATGAGAGACTCTCACGCCGCGGTCGTGGGTTCGATTCCCACCGTCGCCTCTGGCCCTTTTTTCCCGATAACCCCCAATTTGAACAACATATATATAAGAATTCGTCATGGCTAATATGCAAAGATCATAAGGCAAAAAAAAAAAATTTAATACTTGTTCTTTTGATTTATTATTTTACTTTTGTGTTCCTTATGTTATATCTTATATATACACACTCACACAATTTTTTTAAACGACTAATGTGGAAATGCAAAGCCATTAAAAATTAAAAAAGTGCCAAGATGGCCACCAATCCAGCCAGGCTGATCAGCGGGCCTGCCATTTGTTCAGTTTTGTTTAGGAATAAGCTAAATGCAGTTAAGAGCACTGCTGAACAATGAGCCCCCCCAGCCTAAATGAACTAAATGTATCATGTTAACCTGATTGAGGATTGGCCATATTGGTCTGACACTATAACCTAACATAAAGATGGGCTCCCATGTTCCATTTCTTATCTATATTGAATATGGTATGTATATATGTTCATATGTGTATATTTATTTGTATTTGTATTATTTTTGCTAATAATGACTTGTTTTTGACATTTGATAAGCTTCAGCATTATTGAAGGAAATCCCTGTCAATTTTTCATAAAGTCATAATGACAAAGTTTCATAAACAAAAATACTTTGTTTAAAATACTTTTTTTTCCCTTCTGGATAATTCATTGAGCGATTATTTTAGTATCGAGATTGAAAATAATAATTATAGATATCAATTTAATAACAAAATAAAATAAATTGAAGCATTGACCTATTGTTTTTAAATCCGTTCATTATAATATTTATTCCAATTAATTATTCTTTTTTATGTAAGGTTTATGGATGAGATGAAAAATTAGTGTCATGGGCAGGATTCGAACCCACAACCTTAAGCTCAATACACTCTAACCATGCTTCAAGTGTTTAAAGCATGTATTGAGCCGAAGGTTGTGGGTTCGAATCCTGCCCGTGACACTAATTTTTCATCTCAACCAAAAGCCTTAGATAAGAAGAATAATTAATTGGAATAATTAATATGATCAATTATGGCCACTAAGCAAATCTGCATAATTATTATCATATGTTATTATAATGATAATTTATTACATGATTTTTTTAATTGCGTCATCTCATTCGATAGATTATCCTTTTGTTAAGCAATTAGAAAGCAGGAATTAAAGCTATCATCGATTATTAATTTTTTCCCTCCTCGGCGAATAGGAAAAATTAACTCCTCGTTTCAATGCGACGGGTTTTCTCAGAAACATTCGGTATAATTTTCAAATAATTTAGCCAGGTCGTTTTGCAGAAAATCTTTTTCCTCCAGTGTATTTTAATGGTGGGTTTTATTCAAAGGCACAAATTTTCGCCTTATTAGAAAACCTGCCCAGCATTCTCACATTGGTCGAATATTTAAAATGACGTACAAATAGGAAAATACTTTGGGTTTTTTTTTTTTTGGAAATGCAAAATCATTTTTATTCGAGTATAAGGTTTTTTGTTTGTGTAAAATCGTAAATTGTTTTGAGGTGTGTTTAGCCTTTATTTTGTTTCCTTTACATATTTCTCGCACACACGAGACTGTAGAGTGCAATCTGATCTCTGGGGTGATATCGATCATTTCGAAACGAGCCTGAGAATTACGATTTTTCCTCTCCCTATCGTTTTTATCCGACAAATGTTCCCATATACAATCATACTTTTAAATCCATGTTTGAAAACCTAGCGAAAAATTCGACGGTTTCTTGTTCTGTAAATCTTTTTCACATAGACGTCGCATAAAGTGTCCTTTTGGTACGGTATGAATGAAAAATCTAAAAAAAAAAACAATCGGATAGTTTTAAAATAAACACATATACACAAATAGACTTTAATAAAAAATTGTTACAACTTATTATTCAAAATTTACAGAATTAATTATCAATACATCATTATATTTAACAAAGAAAACTGTCCAATTTGGGTAGATTTGTTCGGCTTGGGTTTGAATAAACGCTAAACTTTGGAAGTGTTCATGTAAATGCTTGGTATGATTCTTAATAAACCTGTTTGTCACCATGACTACGTCGATTACCGTTCAGGGGGGAATCGGATATGCCTTCATTGATTTATAACACCAGGATTGTAACATTCTTCCTTATTTTTTAACGGTTTCCAGCTTGATATTACCCATTTCGGTCGATTTATCAATTTTTTCCAGGCCGTGTACGAGTCGTACTAGAATGAATCATCAAATATGTATAAATTTCGTTTAAAGACAATTCCTTTCAACTTTTTGGCGCTTAGGAAGAAAAACGATCATTTTTATTTTTTTAATGAGTTTATTTATGTATTTCCAGGCGTGAAAATGGTGAGAAAGTGCTTAATGTAAAACAATAATTCACATTTTTTATCAGATTTATAATTTTATCCTGCATAACGGAATTTTTATTTTCACCCAATATATTATGAGACTAGTTTATTTAGATAACCCTAAAAAAAGCATGAGTTATTTAAATTTAATGCCCAGTGGGTATTCTGAAAGAATGTAAGAAAAGATCCTTTTTCTTGTATGACTTTTTTCCCTTTTCGACACGACCTCTTTTGACCAGGGATCGTAGTCTTTCTTAACCTGCTACAGTTAGCATGATCATCTCTAGTTTTTTTAACCCTGCAATTTCTCCATTCTTCTTTTACACCATTTGAAACTAATAGCCTTAAATCAGCTGGGGGTCAGGATGGGAAGGCTGTCCACTGTGGATATTCTCCTGAGCTTTTGGACCGCACTGAGAGGATCAGTACATAAAAGATTCATGGTTTTTTTTATGATACTCGATGCGAGGGTTATGGCATTTAGTTCCGCCCTCCTTTGCCGTTTTTGTTCCGTTCTGTAACAGCCCTGTACAGTATGGGCCATGACAGGCCAATGTATTGGTCGCAAAGATAGGCCCTTGTCACACTGGGCCAATAGATGGCCATTTCCAAACTTGTTTAATATGTGCCATAAAGGTTTGTAAGAAATTTCACTCCATAGATGTTGCACCGCTGCACTCAGTTGTTGCAGGTCAATCGTGGTGGGTGATCGAAAAGTCTTCTCTGCAACGCATCCCACATGTTCTCAAGGGATTGATGGGGGAACGGGGCAGATGGAACATTCCCAGGTCTTCTAAACATTGATGAACAACTCTGCCTCTATGAGGTCTGGTATTGTCAACCAGAAATCGAAAATCCCTGCCAATGAGGGCCCTGGTTTGAGGGATGTACTCCTCGATAATTTCTTGGACATAACGGACTGCGGTGAGGTCACCTTTAACAACGTCTAGTTCGCCCTCCAGTGTAAATCCCAGCCCAGATCATTACACCGCCTCTTCCAAACTGCCCAACAGTGCTTAATGTGGAACTACGATGACGACGGGTGGTACATGTGGTTAAGGCTCAGGGCCTAAGAAAGGTGTACCTCGTGTCCTCATTCACATCCCTCTCTCACTCCAGGTTCCTTCATTGTTTCCTGTGACCTCTCCCAACCCTTGTCTACTACCCTTGTGTCCGGGCGCAAGATAATGGTGTAGCCCTGAGGGCTTGGCAACCTTTCTAAAGCACAAGCTGGACTCGTAGTTGGCCGTGGTGAGACCCCTGGCGGGTACTTATAGAAGAGGCTGTCTTCTATCTGTGACTTTCGCACGAAACTTGCGCATGACCATCGTTATACACACGGGATACGGCGGATCGGACGGCAGTATATAAGCGTTGTAGACGCTATGATTATGCTGAAAAGTCCCTCAAATGAGTAGTGGCGGATGGGAACGGGACTTATTAGTAAACATAAAGGGTTGAGATGGGGAGTTGATATCTGAGAGGATCGAGGTCACGATAGCTCAGGTGGTAGAGCAGTGGCGTATCTAGCCGAAGGTCGTGGGTTCGAATCCCTCTCGTGCCATTAGCTTTTTTTCATCTCAACTAAAAACCTTAATTAATTGTCATATATTAATTGGTCAAGCGGACCACGAAAGTAGTGAATTGTAGTTGTCACCAATTTCATAAGGAATTTCACCCCGTAGATGTTGCAACGCTGCACTCGGTTGTTGCAGGTCAACTGGCTGCAGATGGTGATCGAAAAGCCTCTGCAACGCATCCCACATGGGATCAATAGGATTGAGGTCTGGAAATGATAATAGGGGAAGTGGCTGATGGGCAATTTCCAGGTTTTTTAAACATTGATGAACAAACAAACCTTTATGAGGTCTGGCATTGTAATTCAGAAATCGCAAATCCCTGCCAATGAGGTCCCTGGTTGGAAGGATGTATTCTTCGATAATTTCTTGGAAATAAAGGACTGCGGTGAGGTTACCTTCAACAATATGGAGTCCAGTTCCTCCAGTGTAATTCCCAGCCCAGATCATTACACCGCCTCTTCCAAACTGCCCGAGAGGAGCACGAACTGGGGCATTGTACGCATCCCCTGTTCTCGGTAGACTCATCGGTACTTGCTATCACTATACAGACAGATTGACTCATTAGTAAATGTAACAGCGTTCCAATTGGTATTCTCTTCTGGGTGCTCGCATATTCTCCTGAGTTGCAGGTGGTGGGCTGTTGCTGCAGGCCATCTCAAAGGGGCATACGATGTGAGGCCAACTTCTTACAGACGTTTGTGTCAATGCCTTGCCAAAACATCTTCTGTTGTACTTCATCTAGGATCTAGCAGGCACTATGGAAAGGGTTCCGACTTGCAGCTTTGACAGTATTTCTGTCCTCCCTTAGCATCATAAAGCGCTGAGGTCGACTACCAGGCCTCCAATGCTCAATTGGCATTTCTAGTCTCGGAATCGGGCTAAACCACGCTCTGAGAAATCCCAACTGCCTCATATCCACTTGCCTTTAACCTCAATGACTCTTTCTCATAATAATTTTGCGAACCTCTGGTTCAATGGTTAAAGAGAATACAACTGGATCAAAATGGAGAAAAGACGAGAAAAGGTGTTTATTTACAAAAATTATTAATCTTCATGTTTACTGTTCTTAAGTAAATCCTTTATTAAAAATGAGGATTAACATTTGTACGGTTTTGGTTTGTATTTTGGTTTATTTTATTCAACTAACAAGAATATATTGGTTAAATTTATTAAAATTATTAGAATAAGAACTAATTACAAATATCCCTATTCATATTTGATCATTAATATTTACAATGAATTGAAGATTGGCGAACGAAGAAACATGAGAAACACAATTATCTTGGAATTTATTGGTACATAACTATAATCAGCAAAATATCATTTTACCAAAATAAACTAAGGGAAGAGGGTATTGATTTTTTTTCTGGTTGTAAATAAACAGATGATAAATAATTCTCTGAGTAAATGGTAGTAAGGACGGGACAAAATGAACAAATCCAATCCAATTACACGATTGCCGGAGATTATTCTATAATTGAAGAAAGAGGAGATAAATTCCTGGAACGAGCAATTACAATCCTGATATTCCTCGATCTTTTTTACGAGCAATTACAAATGAAACGCATTTCATATTCATATCCTCTGTTTGATTTATTTGAGAAAAATCTGTCCCAAATATATTTTAACGGGAAATTTAAGTTTTTCATTTAATTAGGTGGTTAATCTTCCAGAGAGGATCACCTTCCCCGGTTGGTCTTATCCGTCCAGCTGACTCGGTACTGTCAACAGCTAAGCAACTCCGCACCCAACGCATGCAGTTCCTAGATCCAAACTCATTCATTCCTTCTTAAACACATTAAATTCACTAATTTCGTGGTCCGCTTGACCAATTAATACATTACAATTAATTAAGGTTTTTAGTTGAGATGAAAAAAGTTAATGGCACGAGCGGGATTCGAACCCACGATCTTCGGCTAGATACGCCGCTGCTCTACCATCTGTTCGAATCCCGCTCGTGCCATTAACTTTTTTTCATCTCAACTAAAAACCTTAATTACTTAAACACATTCTTATCTAAACTTAGTAACTAACAGTGTTAATAGATTCGTAAGTACGGGTTGGTTTTCCATTCTCAATTTTGCATTCTGATTGACATGGATAGGGATAAAAGAGGTGGTCACAAGGCCTACTGCACCTTGACTGGAATAGATCTATTGTGCTCCCTGTTATTTATAACTCACTGGCCAGCTTCAGGTTATTCAGCCTTCATAGATTTACCAGAGGTTCCTTGGTGTAGGATCTTGCTTGTGGTTTTTCTTGTCCTAGTTGCAAGAACCTTCAAAGAAACATAAAATGTGTTCTGCGGTCTCCCCCTCTTCCTGGCAGTATCTACACAGTGTTTCTTCTGTACTCCGGTGCATGTGCCTTCTTAAGTGGCAGTGCTCTGTCAGGGGTCCAACCAGAATCCTGGTTCGGTTGCGATTGCCTTCCAGTATTTTGTCAGTTTTGCGAATGGTCCTTCTACGAATCTCTTCGCTTGCCTCATGCCTGTGGTATTGTTCCAGGTTTTGGTCTCATTAAATATTTTAAGATGTATCCTCTTTTGTGGCAGGTAGGGTTCTGGGCCCAGAGAGTTCATGTTACTTCCCTTTTTGGCTTTTCGTTGCATCCATGCCCCGAGTGCCCCCCTGGGTCCCTACCCATGCCAGGGTCAGGTCAGTAGTCAGGGCCTCCATGCAGTTTCAAACACTCTTTGCCTTCGCCTCACATGAGGCTTCTGGTTGACATACTAGTCAAAAAACAAAAATATGTAAAAGGAAACTAGCAAGGGGAGATTCATTAACTGAGAATAAATTAAACTCAAAGAAAACAAATCCCCACACCCTCCTCGAGCTGCCTTCATAAGGAAAGGGAGAAAAACGGTAAGCTCAAGCGTTTCTACCTTTTATTTGGTTTTATTTGGGCGTGGTAAGCCCGTATAGGGCTTCGATAAGGTACGGCGTGGAAGGGCAAAAAATCAAACTATAAACTATATCGACTATAATTAGGAATGAAATGATTGAAGTTAATTTTTTATCTTAATTTAATTTTTGTGCTTACAAAAAATACCAATATAAAAGTAGAAAAACAATGAAAACTCCAGATAAGAGAATTTTCACTGAACATTGGTTTATAAGTCGAAAATTTAAACAGAAGGAAAAGGAAAAAGGTCATCTTTAACAAATGAAAAACGCAATAAGTTAATGTTGTCATCGTTGTTAATAAACATAAGAGTTATCGATTAGATACAAAGTTGTTTCGAAAGTTTTCAGAAATAAAATATTTCGTGGTTTACCAAAGATTTGACCAGCGTAACCGTAACAAAATTAAAATATAATAAAATCGTCAACTGTCATTTTTATTTATATCACAATGCTTAGACGAATACCATTGACTTTCTGGAATGTACGTTTGAAGAATTTACAAGGGTGTGATGCCACTAGATACAGCCGTTTCCCCAGCAAGCGCACCAAGGGAGTTTTCCCGTTTCCCTTCCGGTCGCTGACAGTTTTCTTCTGAAACTCGCCCTGGAACTGAGACTGGGCGATATTTCTTTTTCGAAACTGACCGGCGGTTGCAGCACGGAAGATCTCCTTCTCCGCGGCTTAGTCGGAGAATCTTGTTCGGACGAGGAGGAAGGCAAAGGGCTCGGACCCTTCTTGGATATTTTTCTCGTCCTGTTCACAGCACGTTTCACTTCTCCGTCGCTTATCCCTCTCCTGACTGTGTTTACCGGCGATCCTTGTTGACTACGGATGTTCGGAGCGCTCTGGCACCTTTCCTCCATTCTAAAAAAATCGGATGTTTGCATTTAATGTTGATTATAATGAGAAATACATACTATTTATTGAATACATATTGTAATATTTAAAATGAACATAAAATAATTACTTTGCCGTCAAATCCACTGTGGAGGCCGAAGAGTTTCCTGGGAATACGAAAGGCTCAGCCGAAGTGGATTTAGCCGTATCGCAGCTCGCTGACAACGTCGAGTTTGTCGGTAGCGTATCTTTGATATCAGCAATATCAGTTAGTACTGGTAGCCTGTGGGAAAAAAATCAAACGTCAAACATGAATAACATTTTTCTAATTGAATATCGCTCACTTCACGTTAAGCTTTAAAGGACACTGTTGAATCGAAAGTCTCACAAGTTCTTCGTGAGCTAACGGCCTCATGACAATTTCGCTTCCCTGCAGGAAGAGCCTTTTTGGAATTGAAACTCGAGGCTTGATCCTCGCCAACCTTTCGCCAGTATCTACATCACAATATAATTTTCTTTCAACAGCTCCTGAAAATTTTTAGATCAATTATTTCCATTCTAGGGCAAGACAACACTTCAAAACCTTACAAGAAATCGCTGGATAAGTGAATAAACAGTTACTGGAAGGTATCTAATTTCTAAACAGTTTAATGATATCCAACGATCCTTGGCAAAAAGGAGGGAAAATTCAAAGGTGGGGTTGAGATAGGAAGTTAGTGTCCGAGTGGATCGAGGTCACGATAGCTCAAGTGGTAGAGCAGCGGCGTATCTTGCCGAACATCGTGGGTTCGAATCCCGCTCGTGCCATTAACTTTTTATCTCGCCTAAAAACCTTAATTAACTGTTGTATGTATGATTTAATAGGGTCCGCTCGATGGTGGGATGTTAAATAACTAATGGGTCTTATGCGTACTATGGTCTAGTGGTGTGTACATAGTAATAAATTCATTTAAGAATTTATTACAGGATGAGTCATAAAATGCAATATGGGATGCAATGCCCGTTGAGAGCTCCGGATCCTAACTTAGGTGGGAAAAAGGACATGACCTAGGTCTGACCCCAGACCGCCAATTACACCGGACCCGTTGATGTCAAAAGGGCATAACATCTCAAGCTTTGTTAAAATAGGGTCAGAGATTTATATCAAGATGATTTATGATGATTTAATGTCTCATACACAAAGATGTTTATAAAACAACATAGCTTACATATAGTTACTTTACTAAACAAGTTTAGCTTAAAATTGGCATTTGCTGGCGCTGGAATGTCATCGCCTCAGATAGCTCCGGAACCTAAATTAGGTGGGAAGACAGGACCTACATCTGACCCGAGACCTCCTTCACTACCGTTATTCGTGAGGAGCGGCCAATAATGAGGTAGTTTTAGAAAAACACCTTTTTCATTTTTTTGCCGACGTTTCGACCTTTATTCGGATCATCTTCAGGGCGTAAAGTGTGGTGCTATTATTGTGGTGTTATATTGGCTTTGCGTGAAAGTGTTGGGAAACGTGAATTTGTATTCTGTAGTTTTTATATGATTGTGACAGGGCGGAGAACGCTGTTAATCTGGAAAATTTTCTTTGATCATAGGCGGTTTTATTTAACTCAAAGGAGGTCGAGAATGAGGATTCTCTGGGATGGATTTGTGAATCGGCATTCAATATTGGAAAGGAAGTTAATTTTTAAGGACGATAAACGAATGAAGGGATAAAAAATTAAGGCTTAGTAGTTTATATGCTTTATGATGTTAGCCTAGATACGGCTGACTGCGTGTATGTTCTGTAATTAATGCTATGTGGAATGTAAACCATTTCTAAAAAGCCGCGTTTGTATTTTTTCTGTGTTTAGTATCTGTATTTTATCGAAATTAAATTGTTGTTTTTTAAAGTGGTGTGTGGCCAATGCTGTGGTTTTTGGTGCTTTACAGTCAGAGATGTGTGTTTTTTCCGTTTTTTTAGATATTGCGATGAAATTCCAATGTATGTTACTAGAGACAATTAATTTTATAAATTACTTTCAATTAATTAAGGTACTTAGTTGAGATAAAAAAGTCAGTGTCACGAGCGGGATTCGAACCCACGACCTTCGTCTAGATACGCCGCTGCTCTACCACATAAGCTATCGTGACCTCGATCCACTCGGACACTAACTTCCCATCTCAACCCCACCTTTTGAATTCTCCCTCCTTTTTGCAATTTTTCAAATTTCATGTAATCTGATTCTCGGCGACAAATGATATGGCCACGGAGAGCTTTAGTGAAGGTATTCTTCATTTTATCTTATTAAATTCACTAGTTTTCCTTGTCCCCTTGACCAATTAAATTTTATCTCAACTAAAAACCTTAATTAATTGAAAAATATTAATTGGTCAAGCGGACCACGAAAACTAGTGAATGTAACAAAATATGTTTTTAAAAAAATGTCTTCAGGTTTCATATGTCTGTTTTGGAAATAAAATGAATATATTTTTTTTATTATTCGAATCGTTTTACCAATTACAGGCCCGAACTGAGAAAGGACGTGGGCCAGATCGCAGTCGGTGAGATGATGTGGAACCCCTTTCAAGTCCAATACGACAGTGCCTTGGGAAACGTCGTAGAGAGAAATTTGCTCATTTCTCAGTTTCAAACCGGAGTTTATTAACAAATCCAAGCTCTCCTTTGATTCACAGCTTATGTAAATAGAGCCAGACAACAGTCTCACTCCCACGACCCCTTGGCAAACTTTGATTGCATCTTCTATCACCTCGAATACCTGAAAGAACAAACAGTATATTAAAGTTAAGAAATACAGTTAAAGCAAAATGAGTTTGTGGTTTTGGTTCTGAGCTCATGTATAAAGTACTACTTATAAACATTTATTGCATAGTTCAAAACTGAAGCGTGATGGTTTGGCATACATTAACCAATATGAATGTTTACAGATCGTGAGTGGGATTTGGCAAAATTAAAAAAGAACGAGACACCCCACTATGTATATAAAGGAATTTTTGAAGCCCTGAAAAACGAATATAGAGATGCCAGACCAAAATCGGCAGAGGTCGTGGGGTGTGCCGTGTACACGGAGGGAGAAACAAAAAAATTGTCACTCCCTCCCGCCGCGAGCGTGTACACGGCGGAACTAAATGCCATATCCCTCGCACTGAGCATAATAAAAAGTCAGCGTCATGAATCATTTGTAGTATATACCGACTCGCTCAGTGCGGTCCAGAAGCTCAGGAGAAGAAGCTCCGTGGACCCATTAGTAAACAAAATAAAACAACAATTAAAACGGATCGACACAGTTGGGAAGAAGGTCGTCTTGGTGTGGGTTCCCGGCCACATAGGGATAACCGGGAACAGCAGACAGGGCGGCCAAAGAAGCAGCCAGAGGACCTCACGACGTTTCCCAACCAATACGCCCAGCGCACCACGTTATTAATTTCAAATACGATAAAAGAATAATGGAAAAACCGCTGGGCTCGGAAAAATAGAAATAACCCTGCCAAACTGTGGCAGGTTAAGAAAGACGTCGGTCCCTGGTTCACGGAAAATGGGTCAAAAAAGGAAAAGGTCATACTGACAAGACTACGCATAGGTCATACAAGAATTACGCACGGGCACCTTCTAGTTGGAAAGCGACCGCATAGGTGCCCATTATGCAAGGATAGAGTAACAGTCGAGCACCTTTTCAATTGTAGAAGGCTCGACGTTTATAGGCAATATTTTGGAATATCNTATGGTGCTTTGACAATTTGTCTAAGGACTTTCGATTGGAAGGACTGGATGCGCTGGATATTGGAAGGCTTGTAGTGCCCCACAGTTCTACTCCGTATGTCCATATTGGTCTTAGTAAAGTCTTGTATAGTGTTAGTTTTGTCTTAATTGTCAAAGTCGATTTCGGTCTTAAAAGTCTTCGTAGTAGTCCAAGTCTTGTATTAAGTTGCTTTTTTTTAAGTTGTGTGACGATTCCACGTTAGTCTGCTGTCGAGATATAGTCCCAGGTATATGACTTGAGTGGAAACTGGTATCTCTTTGTTGTTGACGTACAATGGAGGGCAAGACTGCTTTTTCAGCGTAAAAGTACACTGAGTGTATTTTTCTTCGTTCGGTCTTGTCCTCCATTTTTTTACACCAGTCTTCGATAAGCTCAAGATGTTCCTGGATGTTGGAGGTAGTTTGGACAGAATTCGAGTTAGGATAGGATTGCGGTGTCATCCGCGTAGGTGGTGATAATAGTGTCAGGATGGTAGGTCAGCAGTATAAATGATATATAGGACAGGACCAAGGATACTACCTTGCGGTATACCGGCCTGTTTCTGTTTGACTTCCGAGAATTCATTGCCGCACCTCACTCTGAAACAGCGTTCGGGCCTGTTTAGCCTTTTAGGATTATTATAGACAGGATTATCAGGGAAAGGAGAGATAAATTATTGGATATTTCGGAGATTTAGACTATAGAATTGTTTGATGTGTGGAATTGATTGTTTTATATTTTGTTGGAGTCGTGAGGAGCGGTCAAGAATGATGTAGTTTAGAAAAACACCATTTTTTGCCGACGTTTCGACCTTTATTCGGGTCATCTTCAGGGCATAAAGCGTGGAGCTATTCTTGTGATGTCATATTGGTTTTGTCTGAATGTGTTGTGAAGTATTCTGCCACACAAAACTAATATGCCACAATAGCACCATACTTTATGCTCTGAAGATGACCCGAATAAAGGTCGAAACGTCACGAAAAAATGAAAAAGGTGTTTTTCTAAAACTACCTCATTCTTGACCGCTCCTCACGACTTCAACAAATTATGAAACAACAGGCCACCAAGAAACACACATAGTTTTATATGTTGTACTGTATGTTGTGTGTTATATGTATGTTATTGATATTGAACTTGATTTATGATACTAGCGTATCTGCGGCTGAGTTTAATGTGTCTGTTCTGTAATTGATGCTGTATTTATCTCTGTTGATGTAAATCATTTCTAAAAAGTTACGTTTATGTTTGTTTAATATATTTGGGTTGTTGAAATCGAAATTGTGTTGTGTTCAAAATGGTGGGTAGCCAGTTCTGTAGGATTTTGTTTAGGTTTTTTGCACATATATATGTTGTTTTACCTTCTTATCCAGATATTGAGATGTAATTCCGTTATAAGTTGCTGGACAATTTATACAATTGATTTTGTAAATTACATCAGACTTGTTTGTTACAAGTGTGGGTTCTTGAATTTTGGAATAAAGATTTTGAACAGTTTTATAGTTTTTGAAGGGTATCTTAAAGTTATCAGAAGAAAGAATTGTGTTTAATTTGTGTGATAGGCCCTGAACGAATGGAATGAATATGTATGTTGGTCTGTCTGTGTGATAATTGATGTAGTGTTATTAGTGATAGTGGACGGTGTTGCCATTTTCAGTCGGTTCGTGGATGCACGGATACATTTTTCGAGAGAGCAGGTCTGCCATTGGAAAATGTTGCAACGGATTTGTTTTCCATTACATACAGCAAGAACAGAACGAGGCCTATGATGCTACCTTGTGGTACGCCAGCCTTGATTTTAAACAAATCAGAGTATTCGTGTTGTTATTTAACTTTGAGCAGTTTTTCCAAAAGGAAGGAGGTCAAAAGTTCAATATATTGTTTTTGGAATGTTTTTTAAGCTTATTTATTAAACCTGCGGGCCCAACTTTATCAAAGGCAGGAATAAAGCCGAACATATATTTTTATCTCCCTGGAGCTTTCTCAATAGTATCAGTGATTTTATGAATCTGAACTGTGGTTAAGTGTTTGGCTCTGAAACCAAACTGGTGGCTTGGTATAATGGTCGCTTTTTCAATGAAGGGTTTCAGTTTTTTAAGCAAAACTTTTCGAATAATTGTGTGAAAAGTGGAAGTATTGAGATGGGCCGGTACAATGATATGTTGATGTTTACCTGTTTTACTTTCAGGATGGTCTCAGAAAATTCACTGACATTAGGGACATAACCAAGACTTATTAGTTAAATCAATTCGTCAATTTTGAAAGTTCGTTTTTTGGGAATGTTTTCAAGATTTCTCCTGTTTTCAGGCTATTTTTTTTTGGGGGGGGGGGGTAAAATGTTTAATAACATATTCTGTTTTTTCGTAGGGATTGTCTATGTGACTAAGCATATGTCATTTGGTTTGAACATTTCTGCCTAATAACTTGACTTCAACGATAAAACACTCTTTACGAATCGACCTTAATTGAGAAAGACACGATGTTGTGAGGTCGATATATAAATTTGATTTAATGCTGGTAAAATAAATTTTTACGAGTATGCTATGTGGCCTGCTTGAAAACGGCCACCGTCACAACTTACCGTGACCCCTGGAAATAAATCGAGATCAAGCGTGGCTGCTGCTGTAAACGGATGAACGCTATTTATCCGCAGACACGGTGATGGCCTTCCTTTATACTCCAGCAGTCCTTTCTCATTGTTGACTTCCTGCTGAAAAAAAAATTACAAAAATACAAAAACGTAGAAAAGCCTGTACAGAAACGAGTTTAGCTCATGGTCAATTAAACGATTAACAAACTGCGTCACGATAATATTAAACATTTATCTCTAAATATCTTTAATTAATTGATAAATCATTATTTTGAGAGAAAGAGAGAGAAAATGAGATAAACGTCATTTTTTATATATCGAAAATACGCAATACACCCACGTTTTCCACTCATTTTAACTGAACCGTTTTGAGAGTATGATCGGAATTATTTTATGAGTAAAAATAATTGAGTTTGAATAATAAAAATAAATATTTTTGCAGTTTAGCATGATATTTATCAAGTTGAAAGAATACCATCAAATTATTGTATAAAATTAACAAAACGAACTTTAATCAATGAAGTTATTTGTGGTAGGACGCAGTCGGGTGTCGTCGCTTCTTCTGGCTCCTCGGGGACGATACTCAGACCATCTCCTTCGAATTTCTTCGTATGATTTCTTTCGACCTTAGTTTCAATTTCTTGTTCGTCCTCCTCATATTCGGTTTCGTCTTCATCGTCTTCTTCCTCCTACACAAAAAAAAATCTCAATATTCATCTTTTATCCGTCCCTCAGTTACACGACTGATCCTGCGTTTTGTTTTTTATTTAAATTTTGTAACACGCATTATACGCAATTAATTTGTATAAATTATAAATAATAAATAGATACACGGTGTGTAATTTGATGTTAAAGATGATGAATAGGAAATGTACGTGTAGACAAAAACGTGGGGTTCTGAAATGACACGAAGCCTATTCTCATGTTACTAACCCAATGCATAAAATTCTTACTCATAATTAACATTTTAAGAAAATGTAGCAAAACAACTATTCATCTAAATAAATAAAGAAAAATAATAATTTGTATTTGTACTTGTGTTTAATACAAAACACAATTGTGCTTCTTTTCCATTCCAGATATAAATGCTACTACTAAACAAGATCTCGAGTATTATTATTTTTTATTTTTTATTTATTCGTATGGTATATAAAATAATACATTCATTCAAATGCATTCAAAAATTTGGTCGCACGTTTGGTTATAAACTCTTCTATTTCTACCTCCGCCTTTTTATGCAGGAGATCTATTTTAGTGTATATCGGGGAATTGTACACAACCTAACGAACTTATTTTGTACTACCTGTAATAATATTAAAGTGAGAAGTTTATGGGCCGAAGAACAGCTGAGGTCATAGCCGGCCTTCTGCGCGTTTTCCTTCTTTTTTCTCTTCTTTGGCGCATATTTTGTTTTAAACTGCAGCCATTTGAGCGCCTCGATCTGGTTACTGACTCTCCGATTTCAAATATATACTACGTTTATATCCTAGAACGCTAGTCACTCGTTTGTATCTCACTTTGTCAAATACAGAATGGAAACAAAACATGCAATACATATATATTCATCACGACAAACATAGATGTCTCACATTCACTCCCCCGGAGTACTCGATATTCCTGGGGGCGGGGTTTTAGGCAACCCCTTCCTTTCACGCTAATAAATTACTTTTACTTTCCATACGTCATACCCTCACCCCAGAGTATTCGATATTCCTCGAGGCGGGATTATAAGCAACCCCTTCCTTTCACTCTAATAACTTACTTTTACTCTCCAGACGTCATACACTCCCCCAGAGTGCTCGATATTCTTTAGGGCGGGGTTGAACCCACCCCATTCTCGTTAATAACTTACTTTTACTCTCCAGACATCATACACTCACCCCAGAGTGCTCGATATTCTTTAGGGCGGGGTTGAACCCACCCCATTCTGTTAATAACTTACTTTTACTCTCCAGACATCATACACTCACCCAGCGGGGTTATAAGCAACCCCTTCCTTCACTCCCCCAGAGTACTCGATATTCCTCGGGGCGGGGTTATAAGCAGCCCCTTCCTTCACTCCCCAAGAGTACTCGATATTCTTCAGGGCGGGGTTATAAGCAACCCCTTCCTTTGAAGCCAGTGAATTATATTCATTCCAATAAACTATCATAAAGTCACACAGACACAACACAAACACACATTAAAAAACTATATACATTTAAACTACCTGTAATTTTTTAATATTTCTACAGCATGTGAAACACCAGGCAGGACAAGCGTACGTGAGTATCGGTCTTATAACTGTTTTGTAAATAATGATTTTATTTTTCACGCTAAGAGTCCCTGCTCAACAGCGGAAACAACATTTTCACACTTTTTTCCCCTTATTTACAAGTGAGTCTATTTGGGACTTAAAATTTAACTAACTATCCAGCTATATTTAACGGGAGCGAACAAGGCAACACAGAGCCCCTAATAGTTTCCATCTTAGCAGTCCTGATTCTAATTTTCCATTTATTCAAGTACTTGTCTAATTTCTTTATAGGATTATTTATTTTTTTCACAATAGCACTAACACGCCAGGAAGATGCAACAATGCTGCATCATCGGCAAATAATGCTACGTTAAGGCCTGCTAGCTTAGGAAAGTCATTTTGGCATATTAAAAATAATGTATATCTAATACCGATCCCTGTGGTACTCCCGCGTTTGCTATTAAGTGCACAAACGCTTTTCAAAATGCAAGTTTTGCAATTTCACAAGAAAATTAGGAGTTTTAGTTATTTATTAAATAAAATTGCAGGCAAAATAAGGAGGTTTAGACATATCAATGATTTTTCTGAATTCCAAATGAATTACTGAGTTCATGCTTAGATTGACCATTGTTTTGATTCGGGTCACTGTGAAAAAATTTTGATATTTTAAGGGTGCCGGAAACAAAAAGTTTGGTAAACACTGGGCCAAAGTCCTCGGATGATTAACATACCACTCTATGCCTATACCACCCTCCATAAGACCTCAAGACGCTCTATGTAAATGACTTAATCCTCACAAAATTTTCTAAGTTCCACGATAAGCTCTCCACTCACCCCAACCCTCTAGCTCAAACCATGTCCAAGCATAATCCATCCCTATAATCATGTCAGTCATACAAAGCAGAGATGGCCTCGGGAACTACTCGGCAAGGACTATCCCTGGGGTAAAGTTGAGAGAGCAACAATGGTTACTAACACCCCTCATAAGATCGTGTATTGAAAATATATATGCTATTCCAAAAAATTAATACAAATGGTAATAAATATTTTGTTAAAAAATAAAAAAATGTGCACACTATGGTGGCTAAGAGCTCAATTTCTTGGCCGGACCACCCAATCCCAGTTATAGTCTTTCACTGTTTTTATAACTTCCTATACATGGAAAGTTGTACCATAAAGAAGAGGCGCATAAACCAAAAAAAAGAGGTGATAGTCTGAAGGTGCAGGGTCAGGACCATTGGGAGAGTGAGATAGAAGGTTTCCAAATATTTCCGTTTTTACTTTTGGAAGTTGTAAATTCAATCGGACGATATCCTGTTGAGAATCGTACCTTCCATTGTTTTTTCAAAACCTGGCATGTACAGATCAATTGGGTTTTAAACGAGCAATTGGGTGTTTCCAGGTGACGTTCAGCCAAGTACGGGGTGACCTCGTGTAGAACTCTCTTCATGCCCTGTTCTCTTTCACTAGGTTTTCTGTCCTATAAGTGTCGATGTACACTCGATTGTGTCAAATCTTGTTCGTTCGACATTTGGCGAGTGCTTTTTGTCGGAACAGCTTCAATAGCGATCCCCACATTCCTCAGAGGTTGGTAACCCAAAACCTTTTGCACCCATTGTGGACTTGAACCAAATTATCAAAGTTACACAATTAATATCTATGAATACACCCTAAAGACATGGTATTGAGGTGATTTTGAAAACGAATTATCTGACTGAGATGACTTAGCAATAATCGAGGAACAATTCGAAAAACAAAGCATCAGAAATTTACCTTTAATGGAATAATCAGACACTTCAACAGAGCACACTCCTGGAGTGGAATATTTTCTGAATTAAATTGCACAGAGGGAGAAATTAAAATTATTACACGCAAGCGAGCACTTTCAAAATCGGGGGCATCTAAAGTGAATAACGAATTGAATTATAAAGCCGTGGTGAAGGGCCCTTCCGCTTTGTACTTAACTTTTTACCCGTAAGTACACAGAAGTATTCATAAAATGATTTCGTATTTTCCCTCGATTGCCGTTCGAGAGCAATTTAAGCCCCTGTTTGTTTACTTATCAGTTATTAACTTCTGGTCAAATGCCTTTATTTGTAAACAATTTCCCAACGCTGTTAGCCAGTCTCGATACATCCCTACCGTTGGCAAGTCGGAACAGAATAAAGTCTATTTTTGATGCTTAATGCTGTTTTATTTTCGGATATGGAAAAAATGTTCGCGGCATATGGAGAAGAGAGTGCAAATGATTTTTCCTACACTTCAAATTTGTCCATGGAGCATTAAATCATCCAACATGGAGATACATTATTTACAAAATTAATGATCATTCCATCTTTTCATTTGGGGGCTTTGATGAAAATTTTTGATACATTCTGCAACTAGATTTCGTTACAAAAAGTAGAAAATGTATCACATGAAAATTTTCATCAAATGCTGCAATTTCATACTAACAGCGGCAAACAGTTAAAAATAACAATAGAATACCAATAAATAAAAAAAAATAGAATAAAAATAACAATTATCATTCGAGATCATGTTTTGAAAAAAATATTTGTATTAAAATTATTAATTAAAGTTATTTTAGTTGTCGGTTAAATATGCTTATGATATTTCTTTCTTTGTAGTAAATAAATAATGAAGATAAACAGAAAAAATTGTTGTTTCTTTAAACGACCTACATATAAAATAATAAAAAAGATCTAATTTGTACACAACAAAACACGTGAAATTTTAAGGAACGAATAGTTTTCATTCATTAATTATTTATAATAAAAACTTCTGAACATTGAAATATTGTGTTGGCAGCGTTGAAGATAATGTATGTATGAAAACGAGAAGTAAGTCGTTCTTTGATCCTGAAAATGTTTCAAAGCGTGTAATCCCGGTGTACGGATGAAACAAAAATAACGACATACATATTTAAAAAAAGGTTAATCCTCCCTTAATCCGGAATTATCCGATCCCTCGTTGAATCCCCCCATCGTGCAAATAATCGGACGCACCTGCCTTTTGAGAAGTTCCTGCAGCCTGTCGCACTCGTCCCTAAGAGACCAGATCTCACGCCTCAGTTGTTCGTTTTCTCTCCTCAGTTTCTTTATGTCGTTCTGGCCTGAAAGCCGACAGTGCATTTCACTAAAAATAGTACTCAAAAAGTGGGAGCTAGAGATCTGGAAAAAAGGAGAACCGGTAAGCTCGACCGGCTTCCACTTCGGTGGCCATATCATCGACTATTTCAATATACATCTCCCTACCACACTTCATTGACCTTGTCAATGGATTTTGAAATAACCCATTCTTAATTGTTAGAAAAGTATCAGTGGAAAAACACATTGACTATAAACATAAGTTAGTTTTTCGTATTAATTTTTAATTTTTTTTTTTTTTGGTCATTTTGCATGACTGTATTTATTTTGCCTTAAAACACAAGCACGAATTATGTCCCAAACGCACCCTAGAATCATAATTTTTTATGCTTACTATTAGAAAAAATCACATTTCCCATGATTATTGATTGAAAATTCCTTTTTTAACTTATTTTTTGTTTTTCTTCTTTTTACATCTATGATATTGAACTCTTTTAAACCAGAAAATCACCAAGATCAGCCTTAAGATTTTCTGGTTTTCAAGGATTCAATATTATTCACACTCAATCCTGCAGGTAAAAAAAAATTATTGAAAATATTTCCTTTTTCTATCTTAATTGTAGTATAATGATTAATGACCCAAAATCTTAATAATTTTCTTTTCTACAGCGTTGCATAAAAACCTCTGATTAATCAGTAAAATTGTTAAACAGGCTTTTAAGCATGCGAGTAATGCATTTTCCCACTGGATTTTTCAAAATAATACAGTTATCCCATTACAAAAATCGGGCCCAAAAATTCATGATAATTATTACAGGCCTCATTTCCCTACACTCTCACTGAGTCAAATTTTGAAATAAAATACTTTTAAAAAAGAATTGTTGATTTTCTTTCCAATAACAAAATAATTGCCCAATTGAGACATTAAATCTGCAGAAGATACACTTTTGAGGCTTCTGATTTTATATCAAAAGTTGGACTTGAAAACTTTGGTATCAAAGGATCAGTGTATGATGTTATTCAATCATATTCGATAAATAGGATTCAATAAGGCAAACTGTTAGCTATCCCACTTTTATTAATGTGTTACGCACGGAACTATGCTATGGCCTGTACTATTTTTAATTTACATTAACGATTTTCTTGAACTAAAGCACAACATAAGTTAGGTTTTTCGTGTTAGTATTTTGGAGTTTTTTAAAAACGCATTCTAGAAGCATAATTTTTCCATGCTTATTATTAGTAACAATCACATTTCCCATGGTTATTGATTAAAAATTCCTTTTTTATCCTTTTTTCTTCTTTTTACATATATGATAGGTTAATATTGAACTCTTTAAAACCAGAAAATCACCAAGATTAGCTTTAAGTTTTTCTGGTTTTAAAGGGTACAATATTATTCACACTTAATCCTGGAGGTAAAAGAATTTTATTGAAAATATTTCCTTTTTCTACCTTAATTGTAGTATAATGATTAATGAGCCAAAGTCTTAATAATTTTCTTTATTAAAGTGTTGCATAAAAATCTCCGATTAATCAATAAAAATGTTAAATAGGCTTTTAAGCATGCGAGTACTGCATTTCTCATTGGACTTTTTTTTAAATATAGTTATCCCATAACAAAAATCGGGCCCAAAAATTGATGCTAATAATTACAGGCCTCATTTCCCTACACTGTCACTGAGACAAATATTGAAATAAAAAGCTTGTAAAAAATAATTGTTGATTTTCTTTCCAATAACAAAATAATTGTCCAATTGAAACGTGTAGATCTGCGGAAGATACACTTTTGAAGCTCGTGATTTTATAACAAAAGTTCTTGACAATAAAATTTAAGTCATATTCGTGGATGTCTCATAAACTTTTGATTCTGTAGGCCATGGAGTTTTTTTAATGTGTGATGCCATTTAATCATATTTGATAAATATGACTCAATAAGGCAAACTTTTAGCTATCCCACTTTTATTAATCGTGGTGTTACTCAGGGAACTATTCCATGGCCTGTACTATTTTTAATTTACATTAAACATTTTCTTAAATTAAAACACAACGTAAGTTAGGTTTTTCGTGTTAGTATTTTCGAATTTTTAATCTATTTTAGTTGGTCATTTTGCAGGATTGTTAATGCCAGTCAAATACAATTCCAGTTTTTATTTTGCTTTAAAACACAAGAACGAATTATATCCTAAGCGCACTCTAGACATTTTTTATGCATATTATTCGTAAAAATCATTTCCCATGGTTATTGATTGAAAATTCAGTTTTTAACTTTTTTCTTGTTTTTACATCTATGATAGATTAATATTAAAATCTTTAAAACCAGAAAATCACCAAGATCAACGTTAAGACTTTCTGGTTTTCAAGGATTCAATATTATTCACACCCAATCCTGGAGGTAAAAGAATTTTATTGAAAATATTTCCTTTTTCTACCTTAATTGTAGTGTAATAAGCTAAAGTATTAATAATTCTGTTTTCTACACTGTGGCATAAAAACCTCTAATTAATCAATAAAAATGTTAAACATATTACGTTGGTTAGTGTTCGAACTGACGTATTTTATGCACAAAAGTGAGACATGCGAGTAATGAACCTTTTTCAATTTCTTCGTTTATATTTATTGTCCTTAGCCTTAGTTCTTCATTTTCAAAAATCATTCCACGACTGGAATTTCTGTCCAGTACTCGATTTGGTTTTGCATTTGCGTCCCTCCGCCTGGAGCGGAGCATCCCCCCAGATCCACCCGGTATACTCTGAAACATGAAGATGGATTTATTAAAAAACGCCACGTTATTTTTTCTCTTTTTACTTAATACTCTGTTAATTATCACTTGTATTAAATCGCGACTCATAATTTTGAAAAATAGTGAAAAACCACTAACAATAAAAAATTAAAATTATTTTACTCCAAATAAAGAATACCTGAAATAAAAACATAAAAAAAGCAAAATTGAATCAAATAGTCTTAATCCTTGAAAAAAATTTGGAAATTAGAAAAATAACTAATAAAAATTCAATGAGAAAAATTTTAATATTGTTGAACCAATTAATCAAGAAAGTATAATAGAAAAAACGGAAATATCAAACTACTTCAATCAATTATTTTCTAATGTTGGTCCAAATATAAAATAAAGCATTATTTCTAAATCAATTCACCTAAATTCAAATATTTTAAGCGACAGACTATCTCTATCTCTTCTATATTAAATTTTACCTGTCAAAAATCAAAATTCTATGAAACACTTCTAGCTACGTTAAATGGATTAAAAGAAGAAACACCTTTTTGATCGTGATTTATCAAATTTTGTATTTAAAAAAATTTCTTACGTGATATATTTTCCTCTACTTCATATTTTTATCAATTAAAGCTGGACATTTTCCTACTGAATTTAAAAAAAAATATATATATATAGTTATCCCATTACATAAATTGGGCCAAAAAATCGATGCTAATAATTACAGGCCTCTTTCCCTTGCATTCTAATTGTGTAAAATTTTGAAACAAAATGTTTTTTTTTTATTATTTATTTTCTTCCTAATAACGAAATAATTGCCCAAATGGAGCGTGAAATCTGCAAAAGATGCATTTTTGAGGCTTCTAAAAGTATATCAAAAATTCTTGATAGTAAAAATTAAGTCATAATTCTTGGATGTCTCAAAATTTTTTGATTCTGTAGGCCATGCAATTTTACTCGAAATTTTAACTTTGGTATCGAAGGATCAGTGTACGATTCCATTCAATCATAATTGATTAATAGGACTCAATAAGCCCAAGTTTTAGCTAACGTAGTTATATTAATCGTAGTGTTACACAGGGAATTAATTTAGGGCCTGTACTATTTTTAATTTACATTAACAATTTTCTTAAACTAAAACATTCTAGCAAAATGTTGGCATGATACTACACCTTTTTCTGGCAGAAATTATGATTTTATACTAAAAAATATGAACCAGGAAATTATACTAGTTAAAAAAGTAAAATGTACTTTTAAATACATTTTAACACTGAATCATTATTTTTGTATCTCAAATTAAAATGACTTAATTACAAAATATAGCATTACATTCTTGCGAAAATACATTTAATTTTAATTGCCCAATTATACCCAATTCTAATCAAGTTAAATATTTGGGAATACGTTTTTATTATAAATTTAAATTTAGGTTTCATACTAAATCTTTGATAAAAATGTTTTGAAAATTATTTTTTAAATTTAAAATTTTTAGAAATATTCTTTAGCCAGATTTAATTACGTTTGAGAGGAGAGAAAGAGAGAGAGAGACTTTTATTTTTGCAGAAAGAAACAAGAATATATGTACAATGGCGGCTTAAACTATAAATTAACAATAAACAAAGAACAAAAATTAAAAAAGCATAAACTGAATATGAAAATTAACTTACACTAAAGGACAAAATTAAAAGTAATACGAATAAAGGAATAAAAAATGGACAGAAAAATGTAAAGAAAAAAGAAGATATAAACTCAACATTGGTTACGAATAAAACCAGTAAAGATACAAACAAGTAAAAAAAAAGGAAATTGATTTACATTAGAATAAATGAAATTAACTGAAAAATTTACCATAACCCCATAATCCTTACTTTAAAAAAATGAAATCTATGCTGGAAACAAAAAACGTTAAGTTCAAAATTAAATTCCTGAACTAATTCATGTCCGCAATTCCAGGCGTAACGGGCATACTGGATCAGTTGTTTTAGGTTTTTTGTACCATTCAAGTAATTAATCAAGGTAATCTAGGCAAGTAGAAATAGCCCAAATGGACAGATTTCATCCAGGATTGAACACTACTAGAAAATGAGTAATATTTTAGATCGCACCTGAGATGGAGAAAGAACCAATGAGGTCTGTTTATGTATGTTGTATAAGCACATTTTTTGATCACTTGTGCATGCTAGATTAAGCAAGTACCAGAAAATCTACACTTTCTCCAATAATTATCGTTCAAAATCCTACAATAAAAATATTACTAAATAGACAAAAGCTACTACACAAAGAAACTTTACATTGATTTTGATTTGATAAAAGTCAAATAATTATTTTTGATTCGTGTCTTCGTATTTATGCTTTAATAAAATTTATTGTTCCTAAAGTAAATTCTTTCATGCATTAACACTGTAATGTAGCATAAATTTCATCCACCTCAACAAAATTGATATAAATTTTATATTATCATTATTTTTTCTCTTATAATTCAATTTTGGTCTGAAACATATATAATTAAATAAAATAAATTTGAATGAGTAGAATATTAATAAAATGATTATTTAAAAAATTACATAAAATGACAATAGATAAATAAATTGTATGTGTACTGCTATGACTAATTTATTTTTTGTTTCTTGTTTATTTTTGGTAATGCATAAAACATTTGTGCATAAAACTCAAGCACAAGTCTAACTTACAGAGAGAAGGTTGTTCATTTTACATTATATTAAATTATTTTTCTCCATTATCATTTAATTTTTATTTCTTGGAATAATACATGCAATGTATATCAAATAAATTCATTTTTGTCTTGTCTTTGTGATGTTGGTGTATTAGTAAGATGAGGTTTGTCGTTCTTCTATTTCTGGTAGCATTGTGCTTAATACGTGTTTCAATCAAAACGTGTAGACTTTTTTTTTTTTTTTTTTTTTTTTTTTAAGGAAAGCCAACTTCATTGATGATTATTCTTTCAAATAATGCATTTAACCGACGACAGATCATTTATTATGCATTGTTTACATTATTTACGAGGAAGCCATTTTTCGTATATCAAAAAGTTACTAAAAATTAACTTCTTTCAATTAATTATTCTGTGTTTGTAAGGTCTTGGATGAAATGAAAAAGTTAGTGTCACGAGCGGGATTCGAACCCAAGACTTTCGGCTCAATACGCCGCTAACGACTTGAGATAGCTCACGATGAGATGCATCATGATAGCCGTGGGTTCGAATCCCGCTCGTGACATTATCTTTTTCATTTCAACCAAGACCCTACGTACACAGAATAATTAATTGAAAGAAGTAATTTGGTCAATCACACCACTAAAAATAATGGACTAAAATTAACGTTGTTTTTATCAAAGTTCTATGTAAGAAGGATGTTGGAAAATTTGTCTTTCCTGTTAGTTTGAAAATCAAGTTTAATAGACAAATATTTTGGTACATTGGTTGTCGTAGGTTGTCTAGTAAATACGAGGTGTTTATTGACACAAGTGGTTGGAGTTTCTTTCAGAATTGGGTCGTACGACTTTATTTTTACAGGGGGGCCTTTTGGTCGGTTTTGTAACGTCAGACCATAAATACTATACCTATAATTAGGCTTAACAAAATTTAAGTAGAATGGGTAATAATTGAAATAATGGTATCCATAATTTCCTAGCAGATCAAATTGTACACAACAGCGTTTTTCTCTTTTGAAGAAGACTAATCCTTGAGTTAATCCAGGTCGGATTAAACATGGGGAGCTCCCTCGAACGGTGGCCCCTAACGATTTATCGATTACCCTTTGACAAGATCCAATCTCATTGATCCGTTGAAAATCTCACTTTTCAAGATATTAAAAATCTTACGGAATATAGATTCAATTGGTAGGTACATCAAAAAAACAGACTGCGCAAAAAATATATTTAAAAAAGACTAAAAACGCAGCATTCGTAGATTTAAGTGATATGTTTATCATTAGTGTACGACAAAAATAATTACTTTGAAATAAGAATAATCAAATTACAGAACAATATGTTATGACGTTATTATTTGCTTTATCTGAAATGATAATTTTTTCTTCACGAATGATTTTTTTTTAATCTATTTTGTTTCATACATAATGAAAAGGGGCTATCTTAGGTTCTGAGGTTCGTGACATTATAGAGCAAACGAGCGCCCAGGGGCAATTCGGTGTATCATAAAGCGTGATATTTCGTGTCTTTTTTAACGTTTAACTCTGCATAGAAAATGCTAGTAGGTTGATAATGAACATCAAAGGAATGATAGAAATATCGTACTCGACTAGGCGGGGAGCAACATTTTTTCAATATGCGACTGTAAACAAGGGCTGTTTTCGCATCCTGCTCCTGTTTAAATAGACATAGAAGTAGAAAATAGAGACTCGGGAAGAACTGGAAAAGTCGGATCGAGACAAGCGTCTTTACACCACACAAAAGCACAGAGGAAACAGAGAAAGGAGAACGTTGGCCTTACATAGATACTTCCGCTGGAAGAATTTTCGTATTCCTGACGATGGAAATGTTGCAATACAGAGAAGAAATCGTACAACTTGTCCATTTAAGGTCACTGACAAGGCCCGACCTCAAATCGCAGTTCAGTTGTCACTGGCAGACCCGCTTGACTTTGTAGAAAATGGGAATGTGATGAGTGGATTTTACACCTACTGCAGATTACGGCCTCCAGTGATATAAATTAGAACGAATCTATTGGCACATAGAAATCATCATTAATAGTCAAACGTTCAGGAAAAATATTAATATGGAACACTTAAAAATTAAACTCTAAACTAAATATATATATATATACTTTTTTTTGTAACCCATTGTATTTAGTGGTCTGATTGAACAAATTACTTCTTTCGAGTAATTAATTTTTTATGTAAGTTCTTGGTTGAAATGAAAAAATTAGTGTAACGAGCGGGATTGGAATCTACGACCTTCGGCTCACTACGCCGGTGCTCTAACCATTCGAGGGGATTGAAGTCGCGATGGCTCGAGTGGTTAGAGCAGCGTCGTATTGAGCC